TGGTGGTGGTGTTGTACAATGTAAAATACTTAACATATGCATTTATTTCATATACAGAGAAAAATATTCTTAAAGTTAAATAAATATTAAAAAGAGCGTCGTTTTTGCAATAAGCAATAAAATTATAAAATCAATCATTTTCTTTTTCATAACTGATCAGTACGATGATGATGTGGTGATGATGGCCACATGATGGTACATACGAAAACTTTATACTAGAATAGCTAGGATTAGAAAATGATAATCTCATTTTATTTTTCACTAATGGGTAATGACTACATAGTGAATATCATAGACAAATGGAGGAGCTTTGTTTTACAAGTGTTTCATTCATGTTGTTAGGGCATGTTGCTCGATCACGAGTAGGGCTTTGAAACAACATCTTCTTCTTAGCCCCTCACCAAATTTATTTCTTTTGTCCAAGTATTTGCATTAGGGGGTGTGGGTCATGGGCTTGTTCAATGTGTATTCCACTTTTCGTGCTTTCCACTTTTGGATTATGTTTTAGTCAGGATGTTCTTTTCTAGTGTTTGTGGAAGTTTATATATCGTTTTTGCCTCATTTTGAATATTTGTTGGCTACCTCAGTGACCTTGATTGCTATCTCTTTTGGCAGACATCACTGGAGCTTGATTATTATTTGTATACCAAACAAAGAAGATGAATCAGGTCCAATCATTCTTCATTTGGATTCTTTAGGTCTTCACTCCAGCAAATCAATTATACAGGACATAAAGAGGTTAGTAGACCTCAGTTTATGCAATTTGAATTCTATCCTAGGTTCATCAACAGTTACGTTAAAAGCCTCATAATCAAATATAATGCGGTGTAGGACTTGCCAAAAGCTTATGTTAGAGATACTCTTTTATTTTTCCAGGTAGAACATACTAAATAAGCGTATTGCGTAGTAGCTGTTTCTAGTTAAACCTTTAACCTTGTTATTTTATTCCTATCAGACCATGCCTTTCTTGAAGTAATTTTGGTTACGGAAGCTGTATTACTGGTTAGTGTTTTGATGTTGTGCTTCTGCCAGGCATTGCGGTTTCCATTTAGTTTTGAAATTACATATGAAAGCGGGATTGTTTTTGGGAGTATATGTACTGGTCAAAGATATATTCTATTGTCATGACTTAAACTGTTGCATATCCTAGATACTTCGATTCTATGAAATTTGGATTTAGTCTAGGATCGAGATGGTGCCTCAATTGGTATTTGTTACAAACCTAGGGTTTTTGAGTTGATAATCTCGTTTGATATGAAAGGATTGGTCTGGGCCTTGATATACTTAACACCCTTCTTCAAACTCAAGGTGGAGGTGGAGGTGGAGGATCCGAAGCATTGAGTTTGAGCAAGTGAAGTCGATATTGTTCTCTAGTTTGTGCTTCGGTAAAAAAATATGCAAGTATGTCACTTGCAGTTCTGAAGGCACATACCGAAGACCAATAGTTTTGTTTTTTGAACAATTGTTTTGTTTTCTGATCACAATGAGATCGAGTTAAAGAAGCATCGACACCAATATGTTTTGTAAGCTCATGCTTCAGGGGATCATTGGCAATTCGTATGGCTCCAGCATTATCACAAAGAAGAGGTGTCGGAGCATCGCATGAAATACCAAAATCAGCCAACAACCACCGAAGCCATATAATCTCTGAAGAGGTAGTGACAAGTGTTCGAAGTTCGGCCTCTGTGCTAGAGCGTGATACAACAACCTGCTTCTTAGACTTCCATGTAAGAGAAGAAGAACAAAGAAAAATGCAAGTAGAGTCCAAAATGAGGATGTGCTCCTTAAATACCATTACACAAAGAAAATGTCCAAAATGCACTAAAGTAGGAGCACTCACAAACTGATTCAATATACGAACATCATGAGCAATGTCGGGTCTGGTGATAGTAAGATAAACTAGACTACCCACAATATAAAGATATCGAGTGGGTTTGAGGCTTACCGTAAGTGGGACGAAGCTGCAAGTGAAGATCCATAAGTGTAACCGCTGTCCTATTATGAGTAATACTAGAACGAATAAGATCTTGTATGTATTATAATTGAGAAAGGTAATAGACATAGTCAGAGTGCATCACCTCAATGCCCAAGAAGTAGCTAAGAGGACCCAAATAAGACAATTTTCCAAGTTGTTTCTTGACATGAGAAATATGATCTGCATCATATTATCTCCCGTAAGCAACATATCATCAACATATAAAACAAGTAAAGTACGTCCACGTGGAGAGAGGTGAATAAACAAGGCGGGATCATGCTCACTAAGGGAAAAACGAGCAGCTCGTATTACAGAGACAAAGCGCTCAAACCAAGCAAGTGGAGCCTGTTTGAGACCATATAAGGCGGGACGAAGACGACAAACATGTCCGGAGGGGGCATTAACACGGTGGTGGCTGCATATAAATTTCCTCATGCAGATCACCATGAAGAAAGGCATTCTTCACATCCATCTGAGATATGGTCCAAGAACGAGTAGCAGCCACCAGAGTACGAACAGTGGTCATGTGAGCAAAAGGAGCAAAAGTCTCATCATAGTCTCTCCTTGAGTCTCTCCTTGAGTCTCTCCTTGAGTCTGCTGAAAGCCTCTAGCAACAAGACGAGTTCCATTCTCTCAATGGAACATCTGACTTCGTCTTAATCTTAAATACCCACTTACATGTGATAGATACAACATGTGACGGTAACAGAGCAAACTCCCAAGTGCCAATACGATAAAGTGTAGCAAGTTCCTCGGACATAGCAAGTTGCCATCCTGGAATACGCGAAGCTTCCAGGATGGTTCTTCAACAATAGCACTCGCACGTGAAAAACCCAACCTGTCAGGAGGCTCAATAGTAGCACGATTACGTAATTCTGACGAACCGTAGACTTCATGAATACCGTGTGACACATTAGAATCAACAGTGTCGTCTAGGACGATGGGAGCACCAGGACTGAGGAGAACGAGCGGAAGCGTTGTATGACCTAGTGGATGACGAGTATAAACCTGTGTAATAGGTGGTCTATATGATGAAGGCTCATTAGAAACGGGTGGTGGAGACTCATTAGGAGAGGTGGGGACATCATCAGGAAAAGAAATAGAAGAAAGACATAAGAAGGACGTTGACTCTGTAGAAGAGGAAGATGTGGGGTGTGTGGAAGGGTTACAAAAGAAAGGATGATCCTCGACAAAGGTTACATCACGAGATATACGCATGCGACGAGAAGAAGAATCTAACAACGATAACCCTTATGCTCAGGACTATAGCACAAAAAGACTGTAGTTTAGTGCGCTCACGAGAGAAAGTAACACATAACATGTACATCCCAAAACCCGAAGATTGATCATAGCTAGGAGGATGACAAAAAAGAACCTCACCTGACGGCTGTCGTTTAATAAAATAAACAGCTGTAGACACAGCTTCTCCCCTAAAAATTGAGAAGGGTTCGAGCACTCTCAATAAGATGGCAGTGTTTTCTCTCCACAACAACATTCTAAGCATGTGCACCAGAAGAAGAAGAGGAGAGTTGGATAAGAATACCCAGAAGTAAAAAACTGACGAAAATTGTCAGATAAATACTCACCACCAGAATCAGAACGAATATCTCGAATCGGATTAGAGAACTGAGTATGAACCATGCGAGCAAAATCCTTATAAATGGAACACAATGGAGAACGGTGTTTCATAAAATATATCCAAGTATATCGAAAATGATCATCATTTAAAAGAACATAATATTTACTGCCACTTTTTGTAGGAAAAGGGGATGGACTCCATACATCAGAGTAGATAAGATCAAAAGGCCTAGCAGAATGAGAAATACTTGTAATATGGGAGGTGCAACTGTTTCACGAGTTTTCAACCCTTACAATGAAAATTAGACTCAATAGAAGTACGACCTAAACAACCATCACTAATCAAAGTAAACAAACGGGACCTACTCAAATGACCAAGACTATGATGATGATGCCATTTGGCGAAGGATTAGACGAAAACGAGGCAATGATGACACACGAGCGGTAGAACGAGCTGGAGAGGGAAGATGCATAGTGTCTAGGATGTAAAGACTCGAAGAACCCCTACGGCGATGGTCAATCTCAATCACAGTCCCGCTTCGACGATCCTGAATAAAACAAGATGAGTCATGAAATCCAACAAAATTGACCAATTGAAAGATGATTCATGGATAACTTAAGAATAGAAAAGATATTATGTACTGACAAAAGTGAATTGCATAGAGAACCCTTATGAGTAATATGACAAGATGTGCTATCAGCTGTCTGAATAGAAGTACCACCAGCGACCGATTTGCGCGACCAACTGGTACTGATCAGAAGTCACATGGAAATGGAATAGCCCCTGAATCGAGAACACAAGACTGAGGAGCATTGACAGGAGAGGCAACAACAACGGGCAGCAACGGATGCAGAACCTTTAGTAATAGGAGTTGTACCACGAGTCTGAGCAGCACGACGTGCACGGTACTAAGCCAATTTTCTGGATGCTGAGCAAAACATTTTTTTGCAATATAACTTGTTTTCCCGCAATGCTGACAAGTGTCTGAAGAACCACCTTTTGGTGCACTAACCTGTCGGGAGGATGCCCGATGAGAAGCATCCAATACACCATGAGATATTTTTGACGGAGCAAGTGACATATAACGGAGATGAGTCTCTTCAGCTATCAAATCGGACAATGCTTGTGCCATGGTCAGAGTAGAAGAGTTATAAAGTAACCGTGTACAAATAGACATGACAAAGCGGTATATAAAAAATTTCTCAAAAAATTTATGTGCGAATCACTCCTCTTTCATGCATGGAGGCACCATGGAAATCAATGGTCCCATCAAACGATAAAAAACTGAGTAGTACTCATCAATGGACATGACATTTTGATAAATAGTCATGAATTTGTTGCATAAGTGTGTATAAGAGTAAGAGTGCGCCACTATCTGAATAGAGCGCGTTGTTGAAAATAGGACCACATCTCCTTAGCTGTTCGAAAAGTGGAAAGGCTCATAATCATCTGCTGACACTATTGACGATGGCAGCCATCACTTTCCCGTCATTAATTTGCCATAATTTGATCTCAGCAGCATTGCTATTATCAACTTTTCGTTCAGGGCCATCATCAGTGAAGTGGAAGGCTAGACCATAACGCCTCAATACTGTTTCCACAGAAAAATCCCACTCCCGATAATTTTGGCCATCGAGAGTGATATTGATAACAATGACATTGAGTTACGACATGATTCGACGACAGATAACAAAATACCTCCGCAATGGGCGGGCGATATATAATGTATATGAGAGACGAGGCTGCGACGAACAGCGTAAGATCACAAGACGGACGAGTGAAGGCTCAAATCAAGAACTGAAGGGATGGATCGGAATAAACGAACTTCAAAACAGGAGACTGAAGGCAGTGACAGCAACCCCTCGAAATTCCGATCCCACGGAAGTTTGCCGGAAAAAATTCCGGCGAGACGCGCCGGAGTGTGAGATGCCCGGCAGCGAAAATTTCCGGCGTGCGTGACTCACACGCGCGGTATTATCCGGCGATGTTTTGGCCGGTGATGAATAAAGGGACGGCAAGGTGACTGGTGTGGGAGGTGAGACTTGAAGGAAAAGAAAAAAAATAAAAATTATTTGTTTTGTGTGATACCATGTTACTAACCTAGGGTTTCTGAGTTGATAGTCTCCTTTGATATGAAAAGGACCATATATGTAGAGTTGATATTGGGCGTTATAGGTCTGGGCCTTGATATACTTCACGTTATGAATGGTCTGACAAGCATTGTGTTCCTCAGTATCCCTTGGTTGTTTCTGAATGGGCTTCAACAAAATCTATTTGATGACTCTCATGTTGCTCTAGGGAGAGATCTTTGAGAAGTGAAATTTGATTTGATGTACAATGTATCGGAAATGGGTGCGTAGGAATTTACATTGGAGAACGTGCTTTTTTACATTGGAGAACGCGTTTTGTTGGTTTTTGTTTTGGTGAAAGAACTGGGAAGAGTGTTTCTTTAGTGGAAGCAAATCACAGTATAAGAGCTTAAGCTTTTATAAGGGGTGCTCACAATTGTTTGGTTAAATTGTAGAATTCTCTTGAAATAATGGTATTTTATATATTGAGAGTTTTAATTGGGTTTGCTCACAAGAGTTGCTTGTTATTTTACACGGAGAAAAAACTTGTATGAGGAACTGTCATTGACAAGTCATCAACATTGATTGGAGGTTTTGCAATAAAATTTAACTATTTTGGCCTAGATTTAAACTAAGCTGTTACAACATGGTTTAGTTTTTAGCCCGACAAGCACAGTTGTCTGCTTGGGCTCATTCGAAGACTTGAATTTGGAATCGGACCTTGTCAGTTTTTGCCAACTCCGTGGCATAAGTTTAAAGTTACATGATTTTTCTACCCTTTTTCTTAAATACGAGAGAATGAATTGCCATAATTTACAATACAGGACTGTTCCATCTAATTATTCAGATAACAGTTTTTTGTTGTGCAGTTACTGATCAGACTTTTTGCCCAATGCATCAATGTCATGTCATTTAATTAATTTGGATTGTTGATTTTTTTTTTTCTTTTCTTCCTCCGTTACATGCTGCATTTAATTAATACACGTCATATAAATGTTTCTTTTAATATATCCTTGCATGGACACATTTTGCTGCAGCTTTCTGGTTGAAGAATGGAGATTTCTACGTCAAGAAGAAGTGCTGCCTGAACTTCCTATACCAGACAATATTTGGGTCAATTTAACTAGAAGAATTGATGAGAAAGTAATTGAGGTATAGGTCTGTGCTCCCTAGAAATGAAGTTTTACATCTGACGAATATTATTACATCATATAACCAAGAAAATATGTCTTGATGTAGTCGTCTTAGTACTCACCTGCTTGATATTTCATCAATTACTCATATTTCTGGAATAAAAAAAGGCTGGTATGCTCCACGCTGTAACATCTGATATTCACCGATGTATTTTACCATTTAGATTATCGAATCGTACTCAAAGGATATTCAACTGCTAGTCGAAGAATTTCATATCCAGTTTTAAAAATAAAAAATTGTCATTTATTAATTGTTGAAATGCCTCAAGTTCCTCCTCTAATGTTGTGCCCCGACTGTGGACCCGCCCACAATTAAGATAGCTTGATAAAAGAGCTTCACAGGTGAATAAAAAATGGCGTGTTTTGAAAGGATCAGAAGGGTGCTGGTTCTCATATATTATGCATGGTTTTGGGACAGTTGCATAAAAAAGAAAAATAAGTCGTGCTTTCTTAATTTATTGGTTTTATCTTCATTTCAGTAAGTTACTTTTCATGGATTGAATATTTTCACTACAAAGCAGAAACTTAGGGTGTGCTTGGATATAAATATATCCGCTCAAAACAAGTTTTTTTTTTTTTTTTTTTTTTTTTTTTTTTTTTTTTTGTTAACCATAGTTAATTTTGAAAAATGTGGTATGGTTAGTTGTAGTGAGATTTTGAGTTTATATTAAAATAATGTTTAATATAAAAAAACTTGATGTAAAAGTAGGAGAGAGAAGATATGAAATGATGGTTTGTTAAAATTATGTGAGTGGATTAATAACGAATTAATGTTGATATGATATGTAAGAATGATTGATTAATTTTATTTAAATATTGAGGATAGTGGGGTTGAGTTAAACTTGAGTTAGATTTTGAGTGTGGATTGAGTATAGATTGGGTTATTTTTATATACGGACACACCCTTAATGATTTTGGTTGCATCATCCCAATTTTTCAAGCCTTTATCAGTTTCACTCTCGGCTTCTATTTGGTCATAGAACCCCATCTTGTTTCACAGCTTTGCAAAAGAGAGAGGATCGACTGAATAATAATGATCTATGGCAGAAGAGAATGATTAGGAAACTTAACCGCTTACAGTTTTATAATATAATTAGCGCTCTGTTCAACCAATTTTTTTTTGTTTTTCCCTCAAATTTTTTGGTGGTTGCCTAATGTACTGGATGGTACGGCTCTTGTCATCATTTATAATAGTTGCATAATGATCTGGGCAGTATGTTTTATTTCACTTGCATTTGAGTCAGGTTATATTCGGTACTATTTTCTGATACCGGAAGACTCAGCTGAAGGTGTTAATTATTTCACAACAGGAAAACATACCATGCTGTCATGCACAGTTATATATCATAACTGCTACTCAAACTTGATTGTTTTGCTGCGACTATCTTCACAGGCTCATTTTTATTTTTCTTATCTTATCTGTTTTTTCACGAATCAGGTGCCCCAGCAAAGAAATGAGTATGATTGTGGTATCTTTGTTCTTTTCTTTATGGAACGCTTTCTTGAAGATGCCCCTGAAAGACTGAAGAAGAAGGACTTGGACATGGTACTTATTTACGCTCCAGTTTTTTCTTAAATTTCTCCTATAATTTCCTCTTCTATTTTTGTTGTCCCTTTTTATTCGGTTCTTTATTCTTCAGTGTTTTCTTTATACATGGCTCCTTAGTTTGGCAAGCAATGGTTTAAACCAGAGGAGGCTTCCAGTTTGAGAAGAAAGATTAGGAATATACTGAAAGAAGAGTTTATGAGTGCAAATGGAGGGGACACGTGTAAATTGGATTGACAATCCCCGCTGTAGATAAGATCACTAATCGAACAATTGCAAGAGAATTATTCAATGGAACTGCTAACAGCTATACCAATAGAGTTGGTGTGCTTTTGCTGCAGAATTTCACAGTGAAATATTCGTTTGTCGAGTTCTTTTTTTCCCCCCTTATTTGCAGAATTGATGATGCTTTTGACCCGTAATTGAAAACGGGGGCTGTGAACATTTTGGAATCATGTCTTTAGCTACAACATCTATCTTGAAGGAAATCGATTATGGTGTATATGAGGTCAAAGACTGTAAAGATCAGCCTTCTGTTGAATTTTGTTTATCATCTTCCTCAAAACATTAGAATTTGGTCTTCAGTGGTCTGTGTGGTCAGAGGCAATATAAATTTCCTTGCATTTGTACTGATCTCTCATATCAATTGATAGAGAATCTTTTGTGTAAATGTAATTAGATGGGCCAAAACTTGTAGTGAGAACCTTTCTGTTCTCTCCATTTATGATGCCTTTTAGCCCTTTCATGTTATTTTAACTGCTCGATTTGTACTGGCTCCTGGTTGGAAATTCAAGTTCTCAAGCCACACTCGAGTTTTGAGTGTGTTTTGGAAAGGGACTTAAAACACACGGAGTATCGGAAGTTTACAGGGGTAGCATTCGTGCGAACACCAAAGTTGAACTTGAACGTATGTCATGTCTGCCACTCGTGTCCCTGCCTTTTCCTAGGATCAAAACCTATGAGAATGCATGTTACATGTTTTGATTGTGAGCTATTGTGCAGAACTTGTTATATTGATGATAATGTTTTGACTGTGATCTATTTTGCACACCTTGTTATCTTGATGTTAGCAGATTGTGCAGCTCGACTTTATTCTGTCTGCGTTCATGAACTTTCCTAGTGATTTACCTGTTTAACATGTGTAAATGCTGGCCAATATGTACGAACTCGAGAGCTCTCACCCTGTTCCTTTACTTAATGTGGTTTGCCTATGGTGATTAGTCAATGTAGGATGTGTATAGAGCCCACGTTAATGATGAATATATATTGGGTAATCACATAAAATAAATCAATGTGGCTTCAGCAAAATGCTTCATTCTCGTCAATCTTATATAGAATGATGAATATATATTGGGTAATCACATAAAATAAATCAATGTGGCTTCAGCAAAATTCTTCATTCTCGTCAATCTTATATAGACTGTAGTAGGGAAATTATTTTTTAAAACATAAAAACAAGTTTAAATTTTATTAATTTTTTATTTCGTTACTTTTGGCGTCATGTATGTCGCTTCTCTAATTTTTTTTGAGATAATTACTTAGGTGACAATATTTGCTAAAAAAAATTCCTTAATAACGAGATAATATTTTTATTACCAAACATAATTTTTTCGTTCCACTTCAACGATAAATAAAACACCAACAGACCGAATGCTTTTATTTCATCAAAAAGGGGGAAAATCGCGATGGCCATCCATGCCCTCCACACGTCACGCTGTTGGTCTCATTCCCCGGTTCCTCTTTGGTCTCATCGCAGCCGTCTTCCTCCTCTCTGCCACCGCCGCAACTCCAAATTTTCCAACAGCCTTCGGGTTGCTTTTCACCGGGATCTCGGCCGCATTAATGTTGTTTCGATCGGATACTTCTATCATCGGATTCGTTATGATGCCACTGAAGGTAACGTTGGTGATGGTTTTAAGTCGTCAGATTCGTGTCCTTTTCGTCAAAAATTGACCGCCCGCCACCCGTCGCCTTGACGCTTGGAATATAACTCGTCGAGGAACAAGTCGTGTAGTCGGAAAGGTGTAGTAAATTCTCCAATTACTGATTTAGGGTTTTATTAATTTTGATTCACCTTTTGGTTGGGGATCTAATTGATTGGCATTTCAATTTTAAATCTTTGAGTTGTTGGTTTTTATTTAGATTTTTGCTTAATTTTCCTGTATTTTTTAAACATCTTTGAATTTTTCGCCTATGAATGATAATTCTCATCAGATTCGGTGCAAATGAGTTCATTGTGGAAAATTGGTGACATAATTTCAACGGCTCAAAACAACAGCTTCTTGGACACTGAGCACGTCAAGAAGAATTCACCTTGATTTGTGACAAAGTTGAAAATAAATTGAAAACAAACTGAAAATAAACTAAAAATAAACTGAAAATATTCTTGTATAATAAACTGGAAATTAACTAAAAATAAACTGAAAATATTCTTGAATTTTTTATAGTATAATAAACTGAAAATTGTGAGGAATTGGTAGAGAGTTGTGTGGCTTGAATAGTTTTTAGAAAATTAAGTTATTTGGAAACAGCTTTTTCATATTTAGTTTGATGTTTATTTGAGTTGATATTAGTTTTTAATTGTATTTTTTTGGTTTATCTATGGTTTATATTTAGTTTATTTATTGCTTTTGATTTTTATGATTTAGTTATTGATTGTATTCTTTTGGTTTATATATTAGTTATATTGATTTTTGAATTTTATGATTTAGTTATTGATTGTATTCTTTTGGTTTATATTTAGTTATTGATTTTTATGATTTAGTTATTGATTGTATTATTTTGATTTTTATGATTAGTTATTTTTAAGATTTAGTTATTGCTCTTGATTTTAGTTAGTGATCGTATTCTTTTGGTTTATCTATGATTTACCTATTGTATTTTTTTGGTTTATCTATGGTTTATATTTAGTTTATTTATTGCTTTTGATTTTGTCCTATTCACATTTAATTTATTAAAAAATAGATAATATACTTAAGATATTCTTAAGATTAACTAGTTTTTTTTTATGATTTATTAAAAAAATAGATAATATACTAATACATATAATCATGAGTTCATAATGGTAAACATATTAGAAAATAACTTATAAAAGGAGACAAATTTTACTTTAAAATGTTGAAAAATTAGGTGACAAATAAAATACCAATTTTGAAAATACTTAAAATAAAAAAAAAACACATCAATTTTTTATTACGGGAAATAACATAGTGGATTGTTGTTATG